CGCTTAGAGAGGGCTAAAAGCCCTATGAAGCGGTATATAAGTCTACTGCTATTGCTATATGGCATTTGAGCCTACATATAATTGTGGCCGCAAGAATAACCTATGCGCAATTTTGGAAATCTACTAACATACGATCGGAAGGTGCTTAATTAAAAAGATTTATGAATGTGCAGAAATGGACAGAATGACAGGTTGGCTGAGGGACAAAGGAGAAACGGAACATTATCTTAGCTGGAACCTATGGTATATATGGGCGACAAACGGGGAAAGTTAAATAGCAGCTGCTAACAATGGGAACTAAAAGTGAATGTGTGTATTGTAATAGATCCCTAAATTTTGTAACGAGAAGATGCCGGTTAGAGACTAAACAATGAGGAAGAAAAAAAATGGGCTGTGAATGACTGTTACCGGGGGGTGGGGAAAGGGAGGGTTTGTATGTTTAATGCTGTATTTGTATGTCTTATTAAAAAAAATGTATAACCAATAAAGACTATTTTAAAAAAAAGTTAGCACGAGGAGCTGATTAGGGATGTGATGGTCTGGCATCCTGGCAACATGGCCTGCCCAGATGGAAACTAATGATGAAAACTAATCAAGAAGAGAAGCAACCGAGAACTAAGGAAAAATTTCCTGGTAGCACAATTAATCAGTGGAACAACTTGCCTCCAGAGATTGTGAATGTTCCAACACTGGAAGTTTTAAAGAAGAGGTTGGATAACCATGTGTCTAAAGTGGTGTAGGGTTTCCTGCCTAAGCAAGGGGTTGGACTAGAAGACCTCCAAAGTCCCTTCCAGCTCTGTTATTCTATAGTTGGTCCTCTCCTTGATTAGCTTCTATCCACTGCTGCTTGTTCTGCTTTCAGATGCTTGATTCATAACAATCTCTGGTACGTTTTCACGAGATAAGCTGGATCCAGAGAATACAGGTTTTCCTGCCATGTGCACTGATACTAGATTCGAATCAAGTCAAGTGCAGCAAAGCAATAGCAATAGCACTTAGACTTATATACTGCTCCACAGAACCTCTCTAAGTGATTTACAGAGTCAGCCTATCACCCCCACAATCTGGCTCCTCATTTTGCCCACCTCGGAAGGATGGAAAGGTTGAGTCAACCTTGAGCTGGTGAGGATCGAACTCCTAGAAGTTGGCAGAATTCGTCCGCAATGCTGCATTCTAACCACTGCACCCCCACAGCTCTTTACGAGAATCTGTGACTTTCTGGTAAGGAAGAAGCAAGCAATGAAGAGGAACATCCCTTGGAGACGAAAAGGGGGCCAAAAACTCCATTGTGATGTTGTGATGCAAATCTTCTCTCTTTTGTGCTTGCATCATTGATTCTGCAGGCAATTATACAAGGAGTGAACAATATGAACGACAACCACATTATAATATTGTGGTGCACATTTTGACTCTTCCCCACCCCCTTCCAATATAGTGGTTTGCTTTGGACACCTCTGACAATAAGATCTTTTGCAATAGCTCCTAGGGTGTTTCAAATTCATAATTTGGGGGCAGCACGGTATTAACAATTTGGATTCCTTCATTGAGCTGCAAGTTAGCTGCCCTCAATAACTCTTTCCTGGTGTAGGAAATTAGCATCCACTCCTCTCCTAGGAAAATTAAATATTTTAGAAAATATTAAAAGGGCAGAATATTTCCCCTAAAAGGGAGGCAGAAACTCAGTCCCCCACTCCCTCACCTTTGTCAATGGGCCATTAAGGCCTGAGCCAGTCTATTCTACATAACAAAGCTCTACCTCCTTCAAGCAGAACGGTAATAGGAATCGCAAAGCCTTTTCATTACAACATCACCCAGCAAGGCTCAACCAAGCTTGGAACTCAGGACAGCCTACAGAGTTGCCCCTGCATGGCCCCATGGGAGTCTGACAACCAATCAGAACACAAGCTCAACTTCAAAAGCCCAGAGAGGGCATAAAACCAAGGGACTCTCAGCATCTCTTCCCTTTTCCCCCCCAGGACTTCAAACCAGTGGTGGGTTTCAGCCGGTACGGCCTGCTACAGGCATACCAATAGTAGCTGGGAGCAGCAGCCACTGTACCAGTACAGTGGCTTGTTTGGCCCACCTGCCTGCCCATGTTCCATATCTATTTTTAAAGCAACCGGGCCAATTGCGCACGCACGCATGCACAGTGTGTTGTGCCTGGGCAACCTCCGACAAACACTGGGTGTCGCAGGGGCGGTGGAGTGCACATGCGTGCACAGTGCGAGCAGCAGGGGCAGTGGAGTGTGCACGATCAGGACGCTCGGCCCCGTGCACAGCGTACTGGTTGCAACAGGGAGAGGAACCCACCATTGCTTCAAACCATGTGTTCCTGTCCACCATCAATAAACCTTCTTTCCAAGCAACTTCCATGGATCCAGTGTCTTTTTCCCCACTTGGAACTGAACCAAGTTAAGATTGTAGCCCCACTCGAATTGTGCGATTGTTGTGTTTTCTTTTAACATGCTGTATTGTCCATTGTTTGTCTTCTCCCCCACCCTCTTCTGAATTGTGAGCCGCCCTGAGTCCCCCCAGGGAAAAGGGCGGCATACAAATAAAGGCAAAAAACAAAAAAACAAAAAAACAAAAAAAAACAAATCCAAAAGGACATTTCTTCCAACACATCTAGATGATAAATAAATAGCTTCATCCTTTCAGAGAGGGGGGGGCGGAGGAACAGATTGACTGACTGTCTTCTGGTAAAACCATTCTGTTTCCCACAGCTGCTTTCCCCCTGAGTCTTTTGGCTGAATGAAATTTAACCCAGTGAAATGCAAAGGTCAGAGGAAATTGAAATCGAATGTACTAATTTAGAATGGGGGGATGCCAGAGTTAAGAACAGCCGGTGTGAAAAAGGATTTTGAAACCATAACTCATTATGGCTTTGAACGTGACTCAGAAATGTCTATAAGCTAAACAGTCAAATGTAATTTTAGGTTGCCCCAATTATTATTTTTTCTCTTCCTAGTCTTTTTCTGCATGTACAAGGACTGGGTTTTTTTTAAAAATCAACCTCGTATTTAACCATTGGTTGTGATAGGAATTGATTGACTGGCTTTTTGCCCGAGCCTTATGTCATGGGCTAAGAGAGAGGAATTGGCCCAATGTCACCAAGCTGCAGAGGTGGGTTTCATATAATTGAACCAACGGTTTGCTGTGCACTGACAATGTTGGGGCAAATGCGCCGTGGCACGACAAAACCGCGCTCGTCAAAATAGCGGTGATAACAGCAACAACAGCGCGGCAACAGAAGGGCGCTTTAATACGGTGCCACGGCAGAAAGCTGATTTCAATTAAGGTAAGGGTTAGGATTAGGTTTAGGNTCCTCTTTTATTCCCTACGGGAGGGGCCATTCTCCATCCACCTGTGCCTTTACTCCCAAGTCGACCCTTGTTCCTTAGTTGCTCCCTTCTCCTGGCAGCTCAGCGCATGGGCACATTGGGAATAGGCTCCAGCTGTTCTGACAATTGGCATCTACCTGTAATAAATCTCATTCATTTGTGGCTTACCTCGTGTTCAGGTTGCCGAAGCGATTGGTTATCCCATCATGGTTAAAGCCTCTGAAGGAGGAGGAGGGAAAGGAATCCGGAAAGTAAACAATGCCGATGATTTTCCCAACCTTTTTAGACAGGTATGTTTCTTCGAAGGATGTGATGGCGAACCTATGGCATGCGTGCCACAGGTGGCACATGGAAGCCTCTCTGCGGGCATGGGAGCCGTTGCCCAGCTCAGCTCATGTGTGCACGCCTCCCGCTGGCCAGCTGATTTTCGTGTCTCTGCCGCACATTCGGGAGATCCACGCACATGGGTGGGGGGTGGGAGGTCATGTGTGCATGCGTGGGGGGACGGGAAAGTTGTGTATTGATATGCGGAGGGAGCGGTGCTACTCCCGCGCCCCATTTTTGGTCCCGGGAGGCTTCAGGGAAGCCTGCTAGGTCCAAAATGGGGCATGGGGGGGTTTCACTGTCGCGCACAAGCGCAGGAGATGGGGGAAGCACAGGGGAGTCAGCTGCACATGCACAGGGAGGAGGGGTGCATTGCATTATGGGTGTAGGCATGCAGGCGCCCACTGTTGCACACGCATGCACGCTTTTGACACGTGAGGAGAAAAAGGTTAGCCATCCCTGTTCTACGGTCTGGCGAAATGTTTCGAAATTCCAAATCTTAGAATCTTCAGCTTAGAAATGATTGCTCGGTCAAAAATGTCAATATGAAGCCCAGTGGCTGTATTACAGCGGTGGGGAACAGTCGGCCCTTTATGACTTGCGGACTTCAACTCCCAGAATTCGTGAGCCAGCTGTCATGCTGACTGGGGAATTCTGGGAGTTGAAGTCCACAAAGGGCCATAGGTCCCCACCCACTAATATACTAGGTATTGTCAGCTCCTAGCCCAACGCTTCTCAATCTTGGCTGTTTCAAGATAAGTGGAAGTCCCAGAATTCCCAAGATAATCATGCTCTCTAGGGAATTCTGGGAGGAAGTCCACAAGTCATAAAAGGGTGGTACTATTCCACCCCTGATCTACTTGGTATTGTCGGATCCTAGTCTAATGATGTGTGGAATTCCCAGAATTCCCCAGCTATCATGCTGACTGGGGAATTCTGGGAATTGAAGTCCACAAGTCACAAAAGAGCTATAAGTCCCCACCCCTGATCTACTAGCTATTGTCAGCTCCTAGCCCAATGCTTCTCAATCTTGGCTATTTAAAGATGCGTGGAAGTCCCAGAATTCCCTAGCCATCATGCTGGCTGGGGAATTCTATGAGATAAAGTCCACGCTCCTTAAAACATGCTAGCTGTGGAATTCTAGGAGCTGACATCTGCACATCTTAAAATATCCTGGCTGGGGAATTCTGGGAATTGAAGTCCACACAGTTTAAAGCATGCTAGCAGGGAATTCTGGGAGTTGAGGTCCATATATCTGTAGGTGTACTAGCTGGGTAATTGTGAAAGTGTGGGGAATTCTGGGAACCCTCCCTAGTTCTCATGAAAATAAAGATAAGGAGAGAGAAAGCACAATGAAGATTTGCAGGGTTCTACTACTGTACTTTTATAATAAAAGTAATATTGGTCTTTGGTTTCTCGTCTGCTCTCCCATGAATGGCTGACTTTAATCTTGCAACTCAGAATGTGCTTCCTCTCCCCCACTTAATCTTTAAGAGGCTTTCTTGGGTTACATTCTGTTCCAGACTCAAGTTTCTTTTATCTGATCATTTTCTGGATAATCTCTTCTTTCTGTCCCTCAAGGCCATTCCTTCCTCCCACTACACTGAGTGAATGAATGATCTGGGAGGAGGGGGGAAAAAGCTTTTTCTTAATGTCTATGGAGATTCTCAGTCATCCAGGTCATGGTTGCCCCAAAGGTGTTTTTTTTTCCAAAAAGCAACTGGACTGTCTTTGTTTTTCCTTGAAGACGTTTCACTTCTTCTGCAACTTGGGAGTCCTCCTGGACCCACAGCTGACCTTCGAACATCATTTGTCAGCTGTGACCAGGGGGGCATT